TGAAGAAGTCTATCATAATCACCAAAACTTTTTCAGGAACTTTTTTTTGGGGTGGGGGATGGGAATCCCTGTCCAGTATATGGGATTTGTTTTGGAAGTGGGGATTAAAGGAGAAATTTATGGAAGGAATTTTTGATCAGCTAAAGCACGAAATGGACAGAGTTATCTGCTCCACCTTTTTTTTAACTCCTGTTTTACCAATCTCTGTAAGGCCTTGCCCTTTTCTTTCCCTTTCCTCAGAGGGGTCTCAAAGGCCGGGCAACCCAAGCTGCTGTTGCTGCTTACCAAATGAGGAGGGAAATGCACCCCCACCATGGGGTAAATTGAGGGGAGTCTTGAAATTATTAAGCCACTATCCTAAATTCATTCATCCCACAGCAAAGGCAGCTTGGGTTCCTTTCCTGTGCTCATTCCATAGGTTGTGGTAGCCTACCCGTATGACATAGTATAAGAAGAGTATAGTTGTTTCCTATTGTCATTCCTTTTAAAGTGTTTGGATGTATCTTTTTGTGCAGGGCTGCAGATTACAGTCTCTCAGAATAAGCCTTGTCATTGCCTTGGATCAATTTAGCCATTCTTATTAAGTATTGCCTTCTGTTTTTTCTCTTGATGCCCCTTTTCTGCCTATCTAGAATTTCCCAGACACTGCAATATATTGCTGAGAGCCAACTGGGTACACCTGTGCTATATGAACTAATAGAGGTAAGAGGACAGGAGAGAGACCTGCAAGGTTATGCAGGGTGGCAGTAAGGAATGGTTTTAGCTTGGACTGTCTCTGCTTTAGGATGTGAAATTACACACTGGCTTTTTCTCTCAACAAGAAAGGAAAAGAAATCCTCACAGACAACAATATCCCTCATGGGCAGTGTGTGATTTGCCTGTATGGCTTTCAGGTAAGAACGTGATTGACTGGCACCTTTATTATTATTATTTTGGGAATTAGAGGAATTGAAATCATTGATAAAAGGAGAAAAAAATGAAATGTGGGTGAGCTTCTTGAACAGATGCCCAGATAGGAATCTCTTGGTTGTGATGCAGTTAACTTGATGCAAAAGAGAATCAAATGGAGATTTTAGGACAGTCGAATATGGCATAGGAGTTTATTAGAGTACTCCTGTTTCTGTAGCCTGCTTGAAAATGCTGCCCATCTACCCTCAGAAGCAGCTTTTCGCACAAAGGAACAGAATATTATAATATGTGGAATAAAAAATGAATCTAATAAATGTAGTTATATGCAGAAAGTTTTATATGATTCTTTGGAATTAACCCATTATAGAAGTAGGATTTACACATGGCAAACACTGCCCTCTGCAATATTTCCACGAAGTATCATGCTTAACTTAATGTACTTCTGAGAATCACTTCTTTCATCTTCACAGGAGAATGAGGCTTTCACCAAAACCCCATGTTACCATTACTTCCACTCACGTTGTCTTGCTAGTTATATAGAATATATGGAGAAAGAAATTAATGCACAGAAGAAAGAAAGAATGCAGCATTTGACAGCTGCATCCAAAGAGGTAATGAATGGTTTGCTATTTTTCCATTGCAGTTGCTTGACTGTTCTTTTTTTGTTCTGGAATGGCTTCTTACTCTAGGACTAGGTCAATATTACCAGATTATTTAAGTTTATCCAATTATGGTACTATGAACAAAATATTGGGGATAACAATGGATTTTAATAAAATTAAGGCTAAATGATAAACCGCTTCCCTCTTAACTGACGCAAGCCCTGTGTTCTCAGTCACCATTTCCTATGTATAAGGGTGGGGAGGCTTTAGTCAGAGGCTTAAGTCTGGGAAGAGTGGTAAAGGCACTGGACCAGAGACTAGGAAACAAATTCTCATCCTGCCTTAGTCACCAAGCCAACAGTGTGACTTAGGCCAGTCCTCCTCTCTCAGCTCTAGGAAGAAGGCGGCGATGGCAAATCACTTCTGAAGAAATGTTGCCAAGAAAATGGCAAGGGCCTGTCCATATAGTCATCTTAAATCAAGTCTGACTCAGAGGCAATAAATAAAATAAATAAATAAATAAAATTTGTGGCAGATGAATAATATATCTTTCTGAAGTGTTTTAGTAAGGTTCTGTGAATAGAGATAATCTTTCTGGTTTTGTTATAGAAGAACAAAAACCATGTGCATTATTTTTGAAGAACACATTCCAAGTTTTTCTTCAAGGAAATGGTAACGTTTTGACCAAGATGGTTCTTTTTTAGTGAATGAGAGGACGGGAATATATTTTATGTTCTGGATAATTCTTTTGTGGGACATGTTATTTGCTAAGTTATGAAATGATCCTTCCTTCCTTCATAAAAATAAGAGAGGAGGGCAGCACTGAATGCATCTTTCCCTGAGATTGCAAGAATTGTGGTAGTTAGGGGTAAGATTGCTGCAGCAGTGCAAATAAAGAAAAAGCATGAAATGCCATCATGAATAACATAATTAGTAGTATGTCATATCATTTCTTCTCTGTTGTGGCACCGGGGAGGGCATTCTTAGAAAACCTAGGTAAAAAAGCTTGGGATCTAGGTTTTTCCATTAATACTCAGTACTGGGATAATTGTTTTTGATTGAGAAGTAGCCACAGACTTGTCTAGAATTCTCCTAAAGCAGTTGTTACCTATTAAGGCAGAGCACCAGAGGAGTTGAAAGTAGAAACAGAATGTCGCATGGTGTGGCCTAATTACATGATGCTCACGGTTGCTTCTGTCATCTTTTCTTGCACAGGATATTGAAGTGCAATGCCCTGTGTGCAGGGAGCCTCTAGCGTATGACCTGGCCACGCTGCAGGCAGCACCATTACCACAGCAGTCAATGGTAAGGAAAATTGGCAGCCGGATCTTTTGCATGGAACCATTACTGTTAAAAAGATGGAACAAACAAGAGGCTTGTGGCCTAAACTACTTGTCATATATCAAACCGTCTAAGAAATCTCACACCCCCTAAATAAGGTTTGCTGAATTATTTATAAATAGTTACTTCAGTGGAGCTCTTTAGCTCTGCAGGGTGTGGGAGGGACGGAGAAACAAAATGGCTAAATGTCCACAGCATGTTCTCATTCTCACTATGCATAACAGTTTTTAGCTATGTGCACATAGCCTAATGTGTAGTGCAAAATCTAAATAATTTTTTTCTGCTTTTCCAGGTAGGTCTGAAAATTATGCAAGTTTTGGTGTGAGATGTCTGGAGAACTCAGCTTGGGGGAGGGAGGTCTGCCTAAACTTTTTGTCCTTCCAAGAACAGTATCAAGTTTTTTTTCCTGCTTTTTCTAAACTCTGCACCTTTCCAGCTGTGCATCATAGTTATAGTGTTGGGTCTGAAGGTTCTACTTGCTACACTCTTGTAATACAAGCTGTTGTTCCCCCCTCAGGAAGTATACCAGCCTGACCAACAGACCCTGCAACACAGAGAGCAGCTGCGTCACCACTTCCAGAGGCAGCAAGAAAAAGGTGGCATCATTGACGTGGAGCTGGAGAGAAATCGCTATTTTGTTACCCTGCAAAGGGTGAGTGGATAAGCAAATAGAAAGAAAACAGAGTTATTAAGGAAGGAAGAAAAGGAATAGCATCCAAAATAAGGAAGCTATTAATCCTCTTTGCAGGGAAACATAAGTGAAAGGTAAGCTTTTATTTGGTTGACAGTCTTGGAACACAAGAGTTGACTCTGATATTTACATCTTAAGCAATTCCATAAAGTGTCTTTTAGGTAATTAAGATTGAAATATCAAAGCCATTTTGGGATGGCTGTTGTTGTCAAGAGCACATTGCAGCCACTTTGCAAGGAGAGATTTATTATAGAATCATGCTGAAGAATATGAATATTTTAGCCCTTGCTGCGTGATCTTTCTGATTCATCCATTTTATCCTAATTTATTTGCTTTTTTCTCAGCCCTCTGATGTCAAGGAATATGACTATACAGCCACCTCAGAAAACGACCTGGGAACTAAGAATGAGCTGAAGTCACCAGCCATTTCAGAACACACTCAAAGTACAACACCCTTGAGTGATGAGCTAAAAAATATAGATACATCATCAGTTACTTTGCATCACAACAGGAGAGAAAGAAATAGAGGGGAGAAGCCATCTTTACAAAATCCTAGCTGGCAATTACATTATAAGACATTGGAGATGGCAACAGGAAAGTATGTCGAGGAAGAATCTGAAGCCTTAAGTAGGAGATCTAATTGGAAGAAGGAAAGAGGGCGGTGGAACTATGGGAGATACAACCAAGATATTTCAAAATCTTATAGCCAAAACCAGGAGCCTTCATTCTTGGATAAAAAAGATTTGTGCGCCAAAGATCTCCCATCAACCAAAGAAGAGAAAAACAACACGGAGAAGTGGATACCAATGCCAAAAACTCAAACCTCAAACAGAGAAAAAGTGGACATTTGCTATGGTGAGCTCAGAGGACGGAACACATGGCAAAGTCAGCATGGTATTCAGAACTGTGAGAGATGGGGAAAAACCAAAGGGAGAGAGTTCGTAACCTACCCTAGAGTGCCAAGAGATCGGGGGCAACCCAGGCCAAAGCCACGGAAAGAACCGCAGGACCCAGTGACAGAAGGAAGTTCTTAGCTGATGGCAATCAAAGGGAGGACACCGATCACTTCGTCATGTTGCCTTTCAGACATGGACTCTCCCTTATTTTTGGGGGGGGGATGATCCCCCCCCTCCAGCTGTCTTGGGAGTTTTCTCTAATGCACTGGCAGTATGTTTTGTTGGGGTGGCATCAGCTTTGCGGAAAAATATTCTGTTTGTGATTAGAATGCTGCAGAGGGACAAATGCCTAATTGGAGAGAGCAATAAATGACAATCAAATACAGTTTATACGTATATTGAAATATCTTCTAGCAAAATAGAATTGTTTTAGTGATCGGGAGGTAAAATCCCTTAGTTAGAAAGGTCATTGGGAAAATGCACTGTTAAACACTTTTAGAATTTTTTTTAAAAAAGTACAGGTCTCCCTCTTTATTGTCCAGGTGCTTGGATCAATTTTGCCACATTGCTTACTATTTATGGTCACTCGTGCTAAACATGATGGCAAAAGAGTGCACTATAATATCAGATTACATAATGTAGAACTAGCCCTGGAAATTAATCCTATTAATCCTTTTATGTGTAAATGAACCGCAGAAGTCTGCAGTTATTCATACTGGGATGTGAGGGTGTGTTTTTTTTTTTTAGTGATCATTTCACTACTGTCAGTACCAAAGTACCTTTTATTTTATATGATTAAACAGTTGCTCTCCAGAGTTTTGAGATTCTTGTATTTCAAAAGAGATTAGACTGAGCCTTCAGTTCTAAATGTCAGTGTGCCAGAAATATTAAAAGCAATGCAAGCAGTGATTTCTTCTCTTCTACCATTTTTGGCCCAAATTTGTTGTACCCAATCTTGGAATCAGAGGATTGTATTGTACCACAGTAGTGGAGAGGGGAAAATGTAAATGTGTTTTTGCTCACATACACCCACATACGTGTTATTCAGTAGTTCTCAGAAATCAAAATTTATATCAGTATACAATTTCCAGAACTTTTGTAGGGTTATCATGCACCACAAATGGGTGTGCTAGTGACACTGATCTAAAAAAAAGTTTGGTTCTTTAATGGTTGAAAAGTAAGAGTAGCACGAATCTTCCTTGTCTGCATTTGATGGTATTTGCAAGAATGGGCTGGAACAGTTATAGGCTATGTTCTCAGTACAAAGTGAATGGAAGTCTAACAGATCGAGAGCAACATAGAGCAATGTGAGCAGCTCTATTTCAATATCATATTCTATAAAAAGCGTTTAACTCCTAATGCCAGTAGACAGATTTCATTTCCTCCAAGCAAAATTAAAACTAATCTATTTGCAGTCTATTGAACTGCCCAGGCATACAGTTAACCTGGAGCCTGTATGTTACTTAAAGTTGAATGGTATGCCTGAGACTAGAGCCATCCACATTCTGAAGAGCCAAGTGCCTTCTCAGTATATTGCTAAGTGATTATTGAGGCACAGACTCGTTTGAAGAGAAGGGAGAACTCATTCAAGCTGAACCCCCAATTTCTTTTTAAGAAATATGCAATGAAATTGTTTGGTTTATTCTTTTTTTATTTTTTACAAAAAGGACCACCTCACTGAGGCAGAAATATTGATGGTATCACCCTTAGTTACTGGGTGCTGGGTGAACAGCCCACGCAACTACCTTCAATGTTTTCTCAGTGTTTGCTCAGAATCAAGATATAAGCATCTCTACATTCTGAATGGCTTTAGCTGGATCTGCTTTGTGTACCATGAAATGACCTTGAAGTTGTGCAGCACTGATTTGATCAGAGACAGACAGGGCTCGTTTAGCAAACTGCTCCGCTACAGCAGATGGCTGGTCTGGATAGAATCTCTGGAACATCTGTTTGAACTGCCACTCCGAGCAATGCCCAATGTATTGTTTGAGGTCTACTCGGCCTGGGCGAATCAGGGCTGGATCCAGCCTGCAAGAAGTGAAAAGGTAACAAAGGAGCTCAGTTAAAAGTTTAACCTTGCAAATATAGCTTCCCTCTTTACACGCAAGCCCAAAATGCTATTATTTCTAAAATTCCAACAAGAACAAGGCTTAAAAAAATCTTAAAATCTGTTTTATTTTGTCTGCATAGTTGGTCATCAGATTCAGAAAAAAAATATAAATTTGGTGGCCAATAAATATATTAATACCAATCGAAGTCCTATTTTAATTAAATCTTTTAAGTTTTTCCTCAGCTATACTACATCAATCCAGAATAAAGGGTCCTACACAGAATAATAACTATTTCTAAGGTGTGTAGAACAAAGGTAGCATTTTAAATAATTGTGTCCATTTCCACACAGAATAACTATGCAATACTTCATATTCAGTTCTGATTCATTAAAGCAGCTGCATCTATTTTCATAGCTATTGCACATTCTTAGAATCAATCATAGTTTAATGAGTCACTGACAAATGATATACTTGCACTCCCATATACTACTATAAACCCCCTTTACAAAATCCTATCTAAAATTTGCACAGCCTACCACACAGACATATTTCTTCCTCCTCCTCCTCCATCACGTACCTTGAAATTGCCCACTTCCTTGCTACAGGCCTAGCAGCCAATATGGAGCCAGGAAAGATAACAGAGTGAAAACCACATGTATATTTTGCAGGTTCAATGCTGTAAATGTTTCAAACCATGACGAAGGCCATTAATGATAATCCACTGCCTATACATTTCTCAGATCACAGCACCAATGCACAAACATAATCCCACTCTTGACCAAATTCAATTCAATCTAACAATTCAGCCTTGTCACTCATAACACTTGACTTATGGATCCTTTCTCAGCAGGCTGTATGGCTAGCACTGCCCCAAGCTTGGAAAGAATGGCTGAAATTATACAGGTGGGGTTTCTAGGATACTTCGCAAGAGCCATTCTGTTTCTTTTCAGCTTGTTCCTAGTTTTCATGGAGGGGATAAGAAGTATGGCATTTATTCTTTGCAAAAGGGTTGCATTTCTACTTCCTCCTCCCTCCTACAAAGGCATACGGTGCATTTTTGTTTCTCACAGGGAATAGGATCCAACTTGTCCCAACTATTCTTGATGCATCAAAGCAGCATTCCCCAACCTTTCCGGCAAGGCGACAGTTAGGAAGGGGGAAGAGGAGATGGTTTTGCATGTGCCCGCTGCTTTCACAAATGCAGCTTTGCACATATGCACTTGTCCACCACTTCCACAGCCCAGTTCCAAACGGGCTGTGGTCCAGCACTGGGCGGCAGACCAGGGGTTGGGGATCTTGCATCAAAGTATCCAAGAAGGTAAACAGATTCCTTTGTGCATGCTTGCTATTATCCAGTATACTTTTTTTGTCCAAGTGGATCTCTTCCTTCTTTAAAGAGGTTTATTCCTCTCCCTCCAGATAGGCCCCTCCAGATAGGCTGGGTGTACTATACAAACTAGTGTCCTCCCAACTCCTGGATTATGTAACTAACTGATTATGGATTGGAAGCTTATGGTGCCCCTCTTGTTCAAAAGACAGAAAAGGTAAAAACTCTCCTAAGGCAAGTACTGACTGACAATAGAACATAAAGTAAGGCATTGTTCTGGAGGAGAAAGCAGGAGAAAAGTCAAAGAAAAGAGTGGCAAATAGTTATTTTCTTAATGATATGCTTGGATATTGTATAAGATACAGTAGAAAGAGTTGATTTATGTTATCAAACTATTAGGGTTTCCACTGCCTGTGAAGTAGCATTTCAGCGTGCAGGTGATACAGGGCATTACTGGAAACAATTCTATGACTGAAAATTGATAAAGAAATTGGAAGAAACTCTGGGAATGACAGCTGTTTGTCTTCTATTCTGTGGTTTTGATTTAGCAGCAAAAATTGCTAACTAGTTATGTCACCAATATCAACAACTGTTCTTAGCCCACATGACTGTTCTCCTAAGTCGAAAGGTTGGCTAAGTTAATAATTCCAGCCTATCCCACTTTTGTGCATCAGTTCTAACCTGTCCACATAATTAGTAGTCATAAATACTAGTCTGGCTTCAGAAGACGCTACGCCATCCAATGCATTGAGAAGGCCACTGAAAGTTAAGCGTCCCATGCCTTGATATGCAACGGGATCTGGAGAGAAAAAGCAACAGAACATTATTCAGAAGTATGGAACAATAGAAAATTAACAATATAAGTAAACACATAAGCAAACATTACTGCATTCTGCCTAGTTATAGTAGCAGATTTACCCAACCAATTGGTTTTACAATTCCCATAATTCATATTCCCATCTTTCACTACCACAGGGGCAAAAGCACCTTTTTTTTCTATGAAGGGCTGTATTCTTTCAAGGGTAACTGATTTAAGAATTTGCAGGTTGCCAGCAGTAATACAACACTAAGGCTGGCAAACTATTCCCTTTCTTCTCTCTCTCTTGCTATGTGGAAGGAGGGAGACAAATATTACTGTTAAGTTCTAAACTGATTGCTTATCAGAGCAATTGTTAATCTGGGGTAAGCAAAAGTGAATGACTTGCAGCCCAATTCCTGATTTTGTAGTTCTTGGGTCATCTTTCAGTCATGGCTGAAGAAAACTGATGGTGTCGTTTTACAACCATGTTAGAAGTTGGAAGCCATGCATTTCATTGGAATGCATATAAAATTAGCATGTATTAAATTAGCATGTATGTCACTATTAAAAGGCAAAAAAATCCACCACCACTCCAGCTTACATATATATGTGGTGCTATTCAAGCCAATTTGCTGGAAAAATACTAAATGCAGCCCTTGGCCATGAGATGGTGGCTTATTCCAAGAACTAAAGGAAAACTGGTCCAAAGAGGCATTTCATATGATGTCTCCATGGTGCAACAATTCTGTGACATGTCCAAAGTTAGGCTCCAGCTGGAAGAAAGAATAAGACAATTTGGAATAGGAAGCAAGAAGGAGCATGTGCCTCTCACTCACTTTCAGCAGCAAGGTCCCGACTGACAAAGGCCGCATCTATGTCTTCCAGGAGAATGATACTCTGTTGTGGAGCTACACTCAGCAAATGATTGAGGCGATCATCCGAGAGACTTCGATCACTAAGGCTCAGAAGACAGATGCTGTACTGCAATTCTCCAGCCAGGGCTGTGCTGTAATATGTGGGATTTTCATTACAGAATGTAAACACACAAGAAAAAAAAGGGGTTGAAGACAAGGGAGAAAAGGTAAAATCCTACATGTTCCTCTCAGAATTAAAATACCTTTGTTTGCTCCAAATCTTTTGTAAATAGAGTTCTGTATTTACGCACATGGAAACACCATGGTAAATTTCTAAATTAGACAAAACCACTATTGAATAAAAAAAGTTCAGAGTAAGAATAAAAAGATTCAGAGTAAGAGGATATTATCTAGAATAGCAGAATCAACTTAACTCTTAAGAAAATCTATTGTGATAGAAGTTTTGTTTAGAAATAAAAATCTCTTGAGAATTATATCCCCTTTTCCCTGCAACATCACAGCTCCATTACTTCTTGCTTTCTTGACGTGTATGTACTATATTCTCTCTAGGATGGCTTTTATAATAACTTCTAGGAACAGATACTCTACAGGTAAATTCACTTGGAGCAGTTAAAAACAGCAAATTCTAACTGTGTAACAGATTGAACCAAATGCATTTTTATCCATTTAATGTAGCTTGATATAATCAGCTTGCAGGGAAAGAGACAATAAATATCTAAATTGCATGAACAATTCTTTCCCAAATATCACAAATGTGAGGAAAGGAGACACTAGGTTAACAAGCCCTTATCACTTTGCTCCCTGCTGGAAAATTATTTCCGAGTCCACAAAAGTACATTTATCACATCACTTTTATGGCCTGCATTTGTGAAACTTACTTCCTAATACAATAGAGCTAACTGCCATTAATTCAGCCTTTAAAAAGATCCTAAAATACTTGTTTTAATTGGTTTACCGATGATTAATTATTAATTTAAAAACATTTAACCCTTGTTTCCAAATGACAATTTAATTCCATTCAAGCACAGGTTTTATCACTTTGAGATAACATTTTATTACTTTGAGATAACTTAGAATCAAATCAAACCTCTTCCAATTAACACATTGGCATACAATTTTCTCAAGCACTGATAAATAAGGATGGGGAGAACAGATTCATTATCAAGACTACAGAGAGCTCACACTTACATGAAACTGCTCTTGCCACAACCTGGGGGCCCATACAGTAGGTATCCTCTCCGATAAGGTATTCCTGTTGAGAAAAAACTAATTAGAAGACACCATTCAATTATCCAACTTCCTACTTTATGAGTTATTATAACCACCATGCTCTAAAAGTCCATGAGAATTCTTCTGCCACTTCTAAACAAACAATCAGTTTTCTAACAATCAGCTCCAGATGCTGTGAAAAAGTTGCACAAGAATACTGCATTATATTTGAGTGAAGCATATTTTCTTATTTTCTCTTACAGTCTTAAGATTTAGGCTTATCCTGGGTGACATTATATGTAATTTTATTAAAAGACTATTCTACAGGCTGTACTCAACTTAAAACCACAATGGAGCCACTGCCTATAACAACTGCAAATTGTGATGGTTATTAAATGAGACTCCCACATGGTGTGGTCTAGTGATTGTGCAGATAATTATGCTGAGCATAGGGTTCTTCAGAGTGGAAGAGTCCCTGGAAGGCCTAGCATAGGCCCAGGCCTGAATTTCAGCACTTCCCCAGCTTCCATCCTTTGGAAATGGGTAAAATGAGGACCCAGGTTGTTGGCAGCAATATATTAACTCTGTAAAACCACTTAGAGAGGGCTGTAAAGCACTACAAAGCAGTATATAAGCCTAAATGATATTGCTATTACATATAGCTTGCCCCTCAAACACCTGTTCTGCTTCATAGCTCTTAAGATTTCTCTCCTTGGGCCTGGTTTCTTACCACTGGTTCCTAGAGCTCAGATTGGGAAAGGAAAGCAGGCTGCTCCACCTTCAGCATCCCTGCAGATTACATGGCTCCAGATGAAAATAATTTTGTAAGAATTCATTCATAAGAATCAATGTTAGTTTGACTTAAAAGACTGTCTTTTAACAAATGTCTTGGACATTTTGGAATACTTAGAGCAGCATAATGAGAAGCTGCATTTTCTTAGATGCACATAAGGCCTTTGGAAATTTGAACTGCATCTTCCTGGTTAAAGTTTTGGAAGATATGAATTTTGGAGAGAATTCTATTACTGTAAATGCATAAGATTGATTTACACTTCACAGAAAGCATAAATAATTATGAATGAATTGTGAACTAACAAAACCTTGTGAAATACAAAAAGGGACAAAACTGGGATGCCTGTTGTCTCTTCTTTAGAATACAGACATAAGACAAGATGAGAGAATATGCTCCGTCTGTTTGGCATCAAATACATCCTTTTATAAAGGAAAGTCAGCGCATTATGTCATCTAACTGTCAGCCTCTGAAATGCACTCACCTCGATCAATGTACCATTTGGGGTTATCAATGAATTCTTTCACATCTTGCACAATCCTCTCTGATATTCCTTTGTCAAACACTACAGAGGTGAGTGGGCGTTGTCGTCGTGGGAAACCAAATGGCCGCCATTCAGCAGCCATTGCTGTATACATTACTGTTTTGCCTTCTTGCTGCCTCAGAGCCAATTCCTTGGCTGAAGAGAAAGTAAAATGTTGATTATACAAAATATTTGGATATAAATAGGAAGGAAGACAAGACAAATCAGAAGCAAAATCCCCATCCCTAGAAACAACAAAAGAATCAAAATACCACATAGAAGAGATTGTTTAGACACGATGTCCAAAGCTGGTTGGTTTGGACTTTGCTCTGAGCAATATTCCATTCAGGGGTGTTAGGGGCTTTGGTGCTAACATACCTTCTTGCAGGATGTTGAAAAAAATATCTCTTTTATTGCCAACTGCTGTAAACGTGACAGACTCCCAAGGAGTGCCTGTGTGGAGATCAATCATCTGGTTCTCCCGGTTCCGTTCTATACGGATCCACTTCTTTTGATACCTGAAAGCAGAGCAAGGAACACCTGAGCAGGAAAACCTTTTCTGGACTTTCACCTCCAGAAACAGCCTTTTCCATGTCTGTTGATCTATAATCAAACAAAAGGTAACCTAGGATTTACATATGTTCAATTATGACCAAACAAAAAAAAGCAGTGGCAGAGATAACAACACAAGGAAATCTCTTTTGTGACTACCTACTCTCCCAACCTACAAGCTTAAAAATTTATCCTTATGCAAAAATATTTGGGTTTTGCTTTTCGCCTGAATTTTTTTTGTCTGAATTTCCATTTTTGCTGTTTAGCCATGCCATCTAGCTCATGTTCCTCAGGACTTTCTCTAGCCTTCTGAAAAAGGAAAACAGGACGGAGAAATTTGTTCTGTGCGTTTTTTTTCTGCTTGTGTAGCAATATAGCCTATAGCATTACAATGGTAGGAATAAGCAAAAGTTATTCATCCAATCAGTTCTGCTTATTTAAAATGTCTCTATTCCACTGTTTGAATAGCTCAATGTATTGAAAAATAAAACTATATGTATATAATGCAAACCACAAAATTGTGAAAAAAAAGAGATTTGGCTATTAAAATAACAGCATTTTAAAATATTTTACAAGTTACCTAACATTGTTCTGTATCATCATGATCTGAGTTGGAGGAGTAAAGAACAGATCTAATTGTATGCTTGTTTGCTGGAAATCAAATCAGCTTACAAAAAATTCAGTGCTTAGCTGATATTAATCTTAAAAGACAAAGTTGATAATTAAATCAATTCCTATTGATAAATCAGAAAATAAAAAAAGAAATGAAATACTGGAACTGATTCATGGAAATAAAATAATTAAAAACACTGTGGAGTAAGGCAATAGCATGATTGCTAAAAAAAAATCCTGCACAGATGCACCCATAAGGATTTAAGCTGAGCTCAAGGGAGATTTTATCTTACCTTTAAATCCTAGAGTTCAGTGGGATTTATTCTTAAATATGGTGGCATAAGAGTATAGAATAACAGCATGATGTTTCAAAAATAAGATAGTTGCTGAAACACACATTTAGCCACACTGTTGCAAATCACTGGCATAATAACTATCCTTTTGAGATTTAGCAGAGTACAGAATTTGCTTTGAGTGCACACTTGTAAACATCCATTCCTGCACATGCATTTTGTTGTTTTCTTGGTTCTTTGACTATTTTGCAATTTTAGAAATTTGAAGTTCAGGATGTAGACATTTAAATTTATTTTCTTCTGTTAGTTGTGCACTACAAACTCCTGCTTATTGCCATAGAAGTATTTGGGAGTTATTGCAAAATACAGTATAACTATTCATGTTCACAATCTTCCCACTACTTCCAGCCTGGAGATATTTCACAGTTCTCCCTTACCAAATGAAATGATTCCCAGGGCTGGGAATAAAGTCAAATTTTGTACTGACACGGCCACTCTCATGTTGCAGGTAAGAAGTCTCCACGCTCAGGTGCTGGGTGTGCTTAGCATGGTGAGATATCCAGTTCAACAGCCAGTGGTAGCTCTTGTCCCTGCCTGGTACTTCCAGGGTGATCATACAATGCCGTTTGAAAACCATCATGCCAACCTGGGCCCCCTTACGTGCCAGGGCCAAGGCTGTGCCCACACCAACTAAACCAAAGCCTGCCCCAAAATATGGATTGTCCTTTAGGGCCAAGACAAAGTCAGAAAAAGGCATTGTGTGCGGGAGGAGCAAATAATGCTGAAGTTAAATAATCACTCTGTGCAGCATTTCTTTTAAAGCCTGAAAAATAAAAGAGAAAGCAGTTAAACTCATGAACAAAAACACTCAAAGGCATAAACACCTTGCATCAAATACACCAGACTTTTTTGCAATGTCTAAGATGGCAGACCAGTATTACACGCCATTCATTTTAGCGTACTGCAATTGCACAGCAAACTAAACTCAGAAATCAAAAAGAACTTTGTCTCTAACTGTCTATACAAAACAAAAGCTGTACAGATTCCCATAAGTGTCCTTCACGTCTTAAAATAAGTTGGGGAGAATCTCCTTGGATTTTTAGCTTAAAATTTTGTCTTTTTCCTCCCTCCCTCCGTCTCTCCCGATCTACTGGAGAAAGATGCAGCTTTATGCAGATTAAAGAAACGAGAAATCTGCCCTACCTCTTACTGCAAACCGGAGCTTGAGAAAAAAACCCACTTCCCCACTACAATATACTATTAAAGACGTGCTCTCTCCTGCTTGCCCTTCCTCGAAGGACCTTCCCCCTCTTGCAATCAGCGCCGCCCTCTCACTTCTGTGGTTCCACCTGATCAGAAGAGGTTACCCTTCACCCTCTTGTCCCAAAGCTTTTTTTTTCCCAAGAGGCAACTGGACTTTCTGTTTTTTTTTTTTCTTTGAAGATGTTTCGCTTCTTCTCCAAGAAGCTTTTTCAGAGCTGAAGAAACTTCTTGGATGAGAAACGTCTTTAAAGAAAGGAAAAGAAAAGAAAAGAAAAGAAAAGAAAAGAAAAGAAAAGAAAGAAAGAAAGAAAGAAAGAAAGAAAGAAAGAAAGAAAGAAAGAAAGAAAGTCCAGTTGCCCCGGGGGAGTGGGGGGAAAGCACCTTTGGGACAACATGGTCCCTGGATGACCGAGAATCTCCATAGTCTTCTTCACCCTCTTGTTCCTAACGAGATAGCTCCGTGGCATGCAGGCGTCGGTTTTATAGAGCAGCCTCGGTGTCTTTAACTGGACCAACTCCCAGAAACCCCCCATCATTCTGGCATTTGAAGGTCACTTAAAAATCCCCCCACCCCACCTTTAGGTTGAAAGAACGGTTTAAAATAAAACGCAAAGGAGCCATCGACTCAACTTTGATATAGGCACAGTGGAACCGCTTTGGAGCAACCCGCGAGCCGTTCGGAACCGAGTCGTGGAAGCGGTGGGCGAGTGCACGGGCTCATCCCCGCTTGCGCGAGCAGTGGACGAGCACGCGCACGCTTGGCTGGCTGCTCGCGCGGAGCCATCTCCTCTCCCTGCAAAGGCGGAAAAGCTGCAGGGAAACTGCTTTTTACAATAAACATGATTAGAAAGCACAGATCGTTATGACTGAAGACCAGGATGGGCGACTCTACTTTTTCCTAGCTCTATCTTCCGCTTCGGGGAACCGAAGGCTAGCTACTTTCTATGAAGTTATCCTACACTCTATGGTTTCTGGGAAAGCATTGGGTTCCTAACTTCCTATAAAATACAACCTTCGCCGCGGGAATCCGAATATCGGGATTTTGATTTGAGAGAAGACGACAAAGCTCTCTCTCCCCCCGCCCTGCCCTCGCTTTGCTTTTAAGCTAAGGTACCTACCGCGAGGAAGACGCTCTGCACACCTCGTCTGTGGCGGTGCCTCCGTTCCCGAAACGCCGAGGCCTGCGTCAAAAAGTTAACCATAGAGTTGCTTGGGGAGAGCGCGGACGAAGCGACAACAAAGAGGGAGGGGGGGGGTGAAGAGAGAGAAAGGCTAGAGAGGAAAACATGGGTGCTTTCTTACCGGCGCGGGGAAGGAGGGATCGTTGACACGCTGCCGGGAGTGGGGATCCGGGCGTTGTAAATGGTGAGGAGGGTGAGGAGAGGCGAGAGGAAGCGCGAGTCGGGACGGCAGCGGAGCTCTCCTGGGGCGGCGGAGTGGGGGAAATAGGTAGCCAGAAAGGCAAGAGGACGTGTTTCTAAGGACTGAATGGGCTTTTTGTGGGAAAGGGAATGGCGGGGTGAGCCTCTGTGCTGCTCTCGGGGATCCCTTATGCTGAAGGCGCTTTTGAATGTGGGTACTGCAATGGGGGCTCTGCGGCGAGGGGCCTGGAGAGGAGCAGGCCCCGGCTCCAGTTGAGATTCGTTAAGTCCTATAGAATTGGCGGTTTGTCCATTCGGATCCAAAAGATGCTGTCATTAAATTGGTGGTTGTGTCTTCTTTTCTCTTGCAAGGTCTTCAGAGGCGGAGAAGAATGGTTCACGCCTGGCATACAGAATCCAGAAGATTGCAGAAGAAGCCCACCAGAAGAAGAGGAAACTGGGTGTGTGAGTTAATCATTTTTTATCCTGCCTAATCAGACAGTTACCGTTTTTTAATTAGTGTATCGAAGTATAAAATACAAAGAAAAGAAAGATGGAAAAGGAAGAGGAGAGGAAGGGGAAAAGAGGGCAGTGGTTACAGTTTTTAATCACAAATGCTTATGTTTTTTGTTACAATGACTATGATAACAATATATAAAACCCAACGCTCAACAACTTAGGGCTGCGTGAAAGTATAAAGAAGAGAGATCACTAAGGAATCCTGTGTCCAGGAAATAAAAGTATGGACTAATGCGCAGTGAAATAATATAAAGTATAGGCAGTCCTCAACTTACAGCCATTTGTTTAGTGACCATTCTAAGTTACAATGGCACCAAAAAAGATGACTTTTGAACAGTTTTCACATTAACGACTGTTGCAGCATTCCCATGGTCATGTGATCAAATTTTGAGTGCTTGATAACTGGGACGTATTTATGACAGTTCAACTGTCCTGAGATCATGTGATCATCTTTCCATCTGGTTTCCAACAAACATAGACAATGTGGGAAGCCAGATTCACCTAACCTCATGATTCACTTAACAACTGCAGTGATTCCTTTAACAACTGTAGCAAAAAAGGTTGTAAAATGGGGCACAACTTGCTTAACAACAGCAACATTTTGAACTCCATTGTGGTCATAAGTTGAGAACTACCTGTATATATAATGTACATTATTGAGAGAACCAGGTGAAATATCGGACTCCAGGATGATAAAGGAATGTGACAGGTCTGTATACTTTCCTCTAGAGAAAGAGAAAGAGAGAGAGAGAGAGAGATAACACACACGTGTGTGTGTGTGTGTGTGTGTGTGTGTGTGAAACTTGTTCTTTAAACAATCATGCTTGTGACTAAATCACTCAGCCTTTCTATAACAACAAGTATAATGTAGATAAATTTCTGATAATGCAGATCAGAAATATTAAATACCTTCGTCTGGTTCTTCCCTTGTACCTGTAGCCTATGGAATTACTTAAGAGCAGTCTTATTTAAATACATGTGTGCATCCTAATGTGATTTCTATACTATAAAGTAGCCATTCATCAATAATACAATTTGCTGAAAACTAAACAGATCAGGAAGGGCTATGGTTGAGTAATGAATGGGCCACTGAATGTTGGCTTTAGAAACGTAATTATATAAGATATAATTCTAAATAATTCAATAAATGGCTTTATTAGGATTATGAGATAGATAAATAGATGCATGCACACATGTATATAAGAGGCATTTAAAAATATAGTATTGAGCTATCTGCTAAAGTGAAAAAAGAGCAAGCAAAATTCTTGCATATTCTCTGGATTGAAATTGAAAATGTATATATAATAAACCTACCTTGGGGTAAGCTTCCTCAGGTCAGGCTAATTAGACTGTGTGTATTAGTATGCCTGTTGATAAATCAGACTTTACACAACACACGTGTTTTCTTTATAATTTGTGTGAAAAATCGGAATTGACTCATCTTACACAAAACAGTGTGTCATAGATTATGATGTACAAGCTGGAACAATGGGATTCTCACATAAAACACTAAGCTAGGATCAGGCAAACTATATCATAATTTAATATGCAACGTAAATCCAGTTATTGTATTTGAATCTATCATCAATCTGTGATAACATACTAGTACGTTCCAGCTTTAATTTGAAAATATTTGTAGAAGGCGTTTAGCCCTTCCCTTTTCATCCTGACTTCATGAGATTAAAACGATGTCTCTTTTTTTCAAATCCCTTATAATCCTTGTTTGCCCTCATTTAAAATCCTATGTATTTAAAGTTAAACTATTACAGTGGAAACCCTTATGGGTATAAGTTCGGGTTTCACGTATTTGAGAAAGCAAATAAACTTCTAGTACCATTTTTTACAGGGTAGATGGTGGTAATAGCCCTAAAAGGGAGGGCAGAGTTTAGTTAAGGAAGCTTTGTCCCTTCCTCTGTAAATATCTTCTGCCACAGCTAACTTAGCAATTCCCCTATGGGAAAGGGAAGAAGTTCTCATGTAGAACAGTTTTCTATGATGGTTGTCATATGCTTTCCTCTGTTTTCCTCCCCTTTTGTTAATACCTTGTATCAGTCCATTCTATCCTTATTCCCTTTAGAAGACAAATTGAGGTGGGTTGTTGTTGTTTTTTGGTATCTCTTTAACAGGATCTGTATTGGTATGTCATGGTGTAAAGCTGCTTGAGGAAAGACAATGAACAGAGGAGCAGTAGTAACAGCATCCATTGGAGACGACAAAATGAGTGGACTTTGCCAGGAGCTATTATTACCTGACTCAGGAATTGCAGTGAATGAAGACAGCCATGAAAATCTACCAGTGGGACAGAGTTTGCTCTTAACAGAGGCTTCTGTTGTAGGTACAGAAACGGGTGATGTTGAAATATTTGTAGAAGCCATGAGTAGCACCATGGCTCTCAGCAATCCGGGTAACCCTACAGGTATGTTGTGCTCTGATAGAATTATTTTTTTTATGGTTTCCATATCATAAAAATATAATGGCCTGGGGAAAAAAGATTTCCCCTCAGATGTTCCTGTTTTTATGGGCTTTCACTTCTCCAGTCAATGCTTTTTTACTCTAAGCAATGAACAGACAAGGATATGCCATAACAGGTAGTAGAACTTTTGAATGCATGCTTTGATCTTTTTGCATTTAATATATTTATATGGAACAAATACCTTCATGAATATGCTGGTAAAGGTCATGTGTAGGCATGGGTTGAATTGTGCTAACTATGACACTAAGTTGTCATTATCAACTGGAAGAGCCATGAGAAGCTTGAACTCTTTTGGGTGTCTGGAGTTTGCAAGGCGTAAATGAGGCAAAATAAGATCAGATTAAATTCCTCCCAAGTTCCTCACTACTCTCCAAGTGATACCAATCCCCCCACCCTTCCTGGCCAAGTCTCCCCTCTCTTTGAAATTAAAAGGAGGTGAATGAATCCATAGTCTCTTCTGTAGTGGCCCCCCTACTTTGGAACTTTGTCCCTCCTGAGGTTCTTAAAGTTGTCCCTGCCTCTCCCCCTACCCCCAATAAACCAGTGTGATTTTCAGAAGATCTGTAAAAATATCTTTATTTCAGTTCTCTTTATTTTAGTCCACTTTGGAAGAGGTTATTACTGTTGTTTTTTAAACATCGTATTATATTATAATCTTGCTTTTGAAAACATTTTTGGGAACCTGTTGCATAGGAAGCTTACCCCACAAATCAATTTGATGCCAATTCTATGTGTTAAAATAAATGATAATAGTGTTTTGATGATGTTTATAGAGACAATCATTTATGGTCACTGTTCCTGATGGACTTTAGAAGAATTGAATATAATTTCTGCTAAGTTTATAACTACTGGAAATGAGGGGTGAAAAGGAAAGGCATATTTGTTTTTTAATATAAAATTTTAACTTTTTTTTTCCCCCAGAGGTCTTAGTCAAAGTTGTGGAACTCTATTTTTGTGAACAGTGTGGACGAAGCTTCCCTGATCCCAGCCTTCTTTCCCAACATCAGTGTGGTAAGCTTTTCGAATGACAATTTGGTAAACTTCCTTCATCTCCAAGGGTTATCCTTAAGCCTCACTAATTAAAACTTATCTGTTTCAGGAGAACAATCAACTGTTCGTCAGGTGGAAGAGCAGAACTTTCTGGATGAAAGAAGACAAGACCCTCAATTCTGCACTGAACCTCTCCTGTGTCCTATATGTCAGGTGGAATTTGCACTGCCTACTGAGTTGAAAGAGCACTTTAAGGAACACCACAAACCCCAGGGTGCCCAAGCCTGTCCTGAGGAAGGCTGCCAGTATAGTTCAGAGGATCGCAAGGAGCTCCGAGGACATCTTCGGCATGTTCACCAAGTATCACCAATAGCCTGTACGTACCGTG